TATATATATATATATATATTGTATATGTACATGCAGATATGTATATACCGTGTGCAGCACCACGTGACCATCACAGCAGCCCCGGGGTGTACATAGTATTTACAAACCAGGAGATGGGCTCAAAGGGGTTAACAGTCTGGTCTTAGATCTCCTTGAGGGTTGTTGCTGATTTTCACACCTGCCCTCCATTCTGCCTGGGACTGTGTGTGTGCATTTTGGTTGCTGTTTCAGTCATGTAGTTGATTGGTTTGCCTCAGTGCCACAAGGCCCCTCTAAAGTTGCTGCTGCCGTTCTTCCTCCTTTCCCGGAGGGCTTTGCTCGGCCAGAATTAATGAAGGAGGCAGAGCAAGCAGAGCAGGCATGGTGCTGGGGAAGTGTTGGGCCAGACTGAGAAGGGTCTGTCTGCTAGGGTCAGGAGTTCCTGGGGAACAGGGAGCCATTGAAGGGTTTTAAAGTGGGGCTTCTACAGAGATCGCATTTGCTGTGTGTAGAAAATGGATCATTCTCCTCTCTAGAAATATGGATTATTCCTTTTTTCTGAAATATTTGAGAGTAAACTTACAGACATGATACCCCTTTACCTTGAAATAAGTTTTAGCATGTCTCCTAAAAACCAGGATATTTTCCTATGTAATCACAGTGTTCTTATAAAATTATGAAGTTGACATAATATTAGTAAAAACTTATAACCGTCAATACAACACTATTATTTCTGTACAAATATTCAAAACGTGCCCACTGTCTCAGTAATGCTTTTTCTGGCAAAAAGAAAAAACAATTTCTAGGCCAGGATCTAACCCAGGGTCACATGCCGCATTTAGTTGTCAGGTCTAATCTCCTTCCAAGGGAGTTCCTCGGTTTTCTTCTTTCATTAAACGTACAGATCAGTTACTTTCTAGAATGTCCCTCAGTTTGGGTTTGTCTGAGGTTTCCTCACCATTGGACCAAACTGTTAATTGCTTTTCCTCTCATCTTTGGAAAAAAGAGTTTTATTTATTTTCAACATTTTAATTTTTTTTAATTCAGAAGAAAGAGCACAAAGGATGAAATAATGAACATACGTTGCCATATTTATCTCCTATCTTTTCTGTTACAGATAAAATCATATGGGTGAGAGAAACTGCTCGCCTCCAATCCATTTTCTTTCCTTAGTCCTGTTCTCCTCTCTCCTTCCCTCTCCAGAGCTGACGTTTGTCATGGATGCGGCGTGTCACCAGATCATGTTTTTCTACTTTCTCCAGACATACATGTAGGAGGAGTAGTAAAGTTCACTGAAATAATGAATTCTAAGACTGGAGCAGGGGGAAAATGAACTGGGTTAGGGCAAGGAATGTAGGCCAAGAAAAGCTCTCATGAGGGACATTTGCAAGGATTGGGAACCTCCCTGGAAATGAGAGCAGATGCCACAGAAAATGATTTACATATTTAGAAGAAAAGTTTTACATTCTTTCTGTTTGGCTAAAGGAGGTCTGACTTAAATGTGCTCCTGATTAAGCCATCCTACAGGGCCAGAAGTAAAATGTGACCCCTCTCCCAACTCATTTTCTTTGTCATTGCGCAAGGGGAAGGAAGAGCTTCGCAGCTGCAGAAAGCCAGTAGCTTGGACACCATTTTTTGTAGAAGAAAGGAAACCATAGGGCCTGTGACCTCTGACCTCTAACAGAGCAGTACAGATGGGGGGATGGCATCAGTTCCTGGTGCAGACATAAAAGTGGGAGGAGTGGCAGGGGAAGAAAGATGAGAAGGGCCTGAAAATCTCACAAGAGAGCTCTTTGCTGATGCAGTCCTGCCCTTAGCAGAGAAGGAATTCCAATAAGATGTGGTTCCTAAACATATAGTAAGCCTTCAAATGATTTGCTTGCTTTGCCATAGCTTTGAGAAACAATGCTTAATGAAAATTAGACAAGGTCTAAGAGAAGCAAGTGCAGGTGGACAATATGTTAAAAAGACAAAAAGGGGGATTTGCCCCCCATTGCTATTCCATTCCCTCTAATACTCTGTGCTTTCCAAGCAGTCACATGACTTGTGGTATTACTGGTAAAGATGTGCTCCACATCCTAATAGAAGACTTTGGCAAGGAGCAAAAATAGGTGGATGCACTTAATACATTGACTTGGCCATTCCTTGAAGAAAATGCTTGGTCCTTCTGCATCATGTAGGAAGACAAAAAGGGAAGCTAAACAGATGGAGGCCATTTGGTGTGGACTAGTTTTCTACTTTGAGGGAGAGTAGGAATCAAGCAAAGGGGGCGGAGGAGAAATGAGATTAGAACAATCGAAGTAATCCCAAATACAAACCCAGTTGAGCAGTTGAGAGCTTTGAGGTTTTGTCAGACTCGGAAACCATTAATTTTTTAATACCTTTCAGCCACAAAGGTCAGGGGACGGGTTGTAAAAATTACGACACAGCCTTACAGTGGAAGGCTGGTATCCCCGAGGATGAGTCATTTCTCTATGTTTCAACATGGACAGCTATGCAAACTGAAGCATCAGGTTTGTAAGCAAATAGTATATAGTACATTAAGGAACCAAGAAATTGAAATCACAAATAACCAAATTGCTGATAATATTTATGTCAAGATGAGCATGAAGGTCACAGAGATTTTCAGTTTAGATGTTATATGCTTTTGCAGTCTTAAAATACCTTAAAATACCAGGTAGTTTTAAGTGCCAAGGGAATGCTGAAAATACACTTTTCTTCACTTGGTTGCACTTAGTTTCCAGTGAACTCACTCCTTTTCATCCATCCTAAAATAGTGCCTCAGTTCCAGGGATGCAGACATGAAAGACCTCTGTCTGGCCTTTGGAGGCTCATGTACTCCCTGAAAGTGTGTGCACACAGGTTTTCAAGTGTATTACTTTTTTTTTTCAAGTGTATTACTTTTATATAAATTCATGCATATTACTTTTATATAAGTCAAAAACAATAAAGACATTTGCTCTTTGAAAAATAAATTCGAACAATTTTCAATGGTGACATTTTTTTCAAAAGCAGTGAAGAAAGGGGTTTTGTTGCAGAGTTTTATTATGAATCAGGCTAAATAGGACTGGGGAAGCTCAGCATCCATTAGAAAGCAGAGAGAAGGGTTCTAGAAGATCCCAGCCCCCCCGCTTGAGACCTGTGAGATCGGGATGTGAATTGTTCACATGTTTTCAGCATCAACCGAGAACTTCCCTCCCTCAAACTGTGCCCATTGAGCACCCGCTCACCTCACTCACCTTTTGTGTCTCTTTCTACCACGAATGCACGTGAGTGGTAGATGCTCACTGAATGGTGGTGGACTGAGTGAGTGGGTCAGTAAGGGAGAAAGAATGTGAGCTCTAAGCAGTTACTTCCCAAGGCCTTAAACGTAGCCTGGTAAAATCTCGGAGAGGAAAAACTGAAATTGGAATGTGATAAAATACCCTCTGACTTCTACCCAAGTGTCTTTGTTCTGAACTTTCCTGATCCAGATTCAAGTTATGTTTTATCAGTTATACCTTTTCTGTTGTGTCTCCCTTGTGCGTTTCAACCCACCTGCCATCACAACCACATCCCTAAAGTATATTTGGTTCTCTGTGACCCTTCATGCCTGCCTTTGTTTTGCTGACTCTGTCACCATGTTGGCCCTCACACAGACCCAGTCTGGGCCCTGCCCTATCACCTTGAACTGTGCCCCGCATTCCCTTCCCAGATCTCCTTTTCCACAGAAGACACAAGGAGTGGTGTCCCAACTCTGTCTTGAGCTGGCCATTTCTAGGTTCATGTCTCTCAGTGGCACCACAGCACCTCTTCTGGGCCCTGAGGACAGCACAGAAATATCCATGAAGACCCAGTGCTGGTGCTGGGAGAGCAAAGCGCAGGTTGTGGGTCTAAGCTCTTGTCCCACAGGCCACACAGTAGGAGTCTAGTGATTGCCAGGTACTCTCTTCACAGAGAAGTGCACACACTTTCAGGGAGTGCATGAGCCATCCAAAGGCCAGAGATCATTCATGTCTGCATCCCCGGAACTGAGGCACTATTTTAGGATGGATGAAAAGGAGTGAGTTCACTGGAAACTAAAATGCAACCAAGTGAAGAAAAGTGGATTCTCAGCATTCTCTTCACACTTTAAACTACCTGGAGGCACAATGACCTTGAAGATAGGCCAGACTGGTGTGTTGCAGTTATTATTAGCATGATAAAACTAGAAGCTAAATAGCATGGTAGAACTGTTTGTTAAATAATTGTACATGGTCTACTTGGGTGGCTCAAACACATCTGGGGCCAAGTCATTTAGGTTAGGGTGTGTGCGCACATGTGCGCCTGCATCTGTGTATGTGGTTGTGGGAGTGCGTGTTTTAGGCCGTTGAAAGAACTTACATTCTTAAATATGTGTCTAAAAGAAAAAGGATTTCCTCTCTAAATGTATCTTTTACATCTGGTATATAAATGTATATATTTATATGTCAGATACAGAGATATTTGTCAAATATATTGTTATATCTTTGTTCCTTTCGGCCTTATGGACACTAACGTTTTAATGTCGCTGGTCCTTTTTCAGGGTGGACAAGCTTCATTTATACCATATGTGGAAATGTGCATATTGGTAAGTGATGGGTTCGTGGCTTTGGGTTCAGTTGTGATATAATCTACACTACTGAAGGTGAGAAAAGGCAAGCTGAAACTTTCATGTGATTGAATACCATGCCTGCTCCTGGCACTAGCCCTCCCTAGTCAGAGTACATCGCGCTATGCCCAGGGCAGGGTACCTCTCGGCTTCCAGCGTGTTCAGTGAGGGAGAATATGAACACCAGTCATGAGCCCACGGACCAGCTTCCACCTGCCAAGGGTGTCTGTGTTTCTTGGCCCGAGGCTGTCTCTGAAAGCGAGACGGACTGCTCTGCCCCAGTCCGGGCAGGACTCAAGTGCCAAGGAATCAACCTTCTTGGAAACTGCCTTCCCCCCTCAGGTGGAATCACTCTGAGGCCTGTGTTTGCCCTTTTCCTAGAGTTGCCCCACGGGATTATGTTGAAGCTGCTCACTGTGCACGAGCATTGATAACACACTCTTCCTGGTCTGCCTTTTCTTAACTTTCTGATCCCTGGACTGGTGTTCCCTGGAATTGCCTCCCAGATAAACTCCTTGCACTCAGAATTGCACCTCAGGCTGTGCTTCTGGGAAAGCCTGAAGTTAGAGAACCATGTAGCATGACTGCATCTTTGGGCAGGACACTCCCAGCCCCGGACAGCTGGCTTACTGCTGACCATCTGCTTAGGGCTTGAAGGCCACAACTGCAGCCATTTAACCATTCTTTGTATTCTCCAAAAGGGGAATTCAGTTGCCTGAAGTGATTCTTCTGGAAAGAATGGTAACACAAACCCATGTGGTTTGGTTTTATATAGTAGAAATGGGCTTTGCTTCTCTTTCACTGAATAGCATTTCAATGATAGGTCAGAAGCAAAATATTTTACTTTTTATTTTTCCACAGTTTTTAATTGAAATATATAGTTGGCATACAAAATTAATTTCAGGTGTACAACATAGTGACACAACATTTATATACATATGAAATGCTCACCATGATAAGTGCAGTTACCATTTGTCACCATACAAAGGGAGTATGATATTATTGACTATATTCCCTATGCTGTACTTTTCATTCTGGTTAACTTTATTTATTTTATAACTGGAAGTTTGTACCTCTTTATCCCCTTCACCAATTCCTCTCATCCCCGCACCCCCTCTGACAACCACCACTTTGTTATCTGTATTTACGAGTCTGTTTTGTTTTTTTTAGATTCCACATAGAAATGAAATCCTGCAATATTTCTGTTTTTCTGTCTTACTTCACTTAAAGTAATATCCTCTAGCTCTTTCCATATTGTCACAAATGGCAAAATTTCATTCTTATGGCTGAAAACCATTCCATTTATTTTTATACACACACACATACATGCATACCACATCATCTTTATTCATTTATCTGTCAATGGACACTTCATTTGCTTCCATATCTTGGGTATTGTAAATATTTTCTGCAATAAACATAGGGGTGCATATATCTTTTTGAATTAGTGTTTTCATTTTCACCAGATAAATACCCAGAAGTGGAATTGCTGGATCGTATGATGGTTCTGTGTTCAGTTTTTTGAGGAACCTCCCTGCTGTTTTCCACAGTGGGTGCATCAACTTACATTCCCACTAACAGAGTAGGAGGGTTCCCTTTTCTCCCTTTAGCCATTTTGACTGGTGTGAGGTGTTATCTTATTGTGGTTTTGATTTGCATTTCCCAGATTAGTGATGTGGAGCATCTTTTAATGTGTCTGTTGGCCACCTTCATGTCTTTGGAAAAATGTCTATTCAGAATCCGCTGCCTGTTTTTTAAATCAGATTGCTTGGGGTTCTTTGATGTTGAGTTGTACTAGTTCTTTATATTTTGGATATTAACCCCATATCTGATACATCATTTGCAAATATCTTCCCTCATTCAGTAGGTTTCCTTTTTGTTTTGTTGATGGTGTCCTTAGCTGTGCAGAAGCTTTTTAGTTTGATGTCTTCCCGCTTGTTTAGTTTTGGTTTTGTTGCTCTCGCCTGAGGAGGCAGATCCAAAAAAATATTGCTAATATCGATATGTAAGAGCTTAGTGCCTATGTTTTCTTTTAGAAGCTTTATGGTTTCAGATCTTGCATTTAGGTCTTTAATCCATTTTGAGTTTATTTTTGTATATGGTATAAGACAGTAATCCAGTTTCATTCTTTTGCATGTAGCCGTCCAGTTTTCCCAGCATCATTTGTTGAAGAGGGTGTCTTTATCCCCATTGTATATTCTTGCCTTATTTGTTGTGTATTAATCTGCGGTATAAGTACGGGTTTATTTCTGGACTGTCAGTTCTGTTCCATGGATCTATGGATCTATTTTCACGAAGGGGAGAAAAATCAAAACAATCTTGAAAACCTGTTTTAATCAGTAGTTACAGCATTGTTTCTTGACAGACGTTTGGTACAAGAATTTAACGAGTGGAAAGCTCAACAATTTGAGTGATAAGAATAGGACTAACACATCCATTTGGTTTTCTCTAGTGAGGCAGGATTTTCCTGAGTCATCTCTATTCACTGGCCTGCTCACCTCTGTTGGCCAGGGCCACAAGTGTAAAACATCTGGCAGGAAATGGGGTCACAGTCCGTAGCGTTGGGATGAACTTGCATCTGTCCAAAGTAAACTGGACCATCGAGAGAATTCAGTTTGCAAAACTGGCCTCTGGGGACTCTGCGTTAGCCAATGAGTGACTGGCCAGATGACCTCATTTGAATTTCATTTCCTTCCCTTCCTCCTACCCACCCCCTAATAGAGATGTTAATGAGAAAAACAAAAGGACAAGACCAAATCAACAGAGAAAAAGAAATGACAAAGCAGAAATAGCTATTAAATATATACTGACACCTAAAATCTATAGAGAGAATCCAGAAAATGCCTTCTGACTTTACTGCCTCAATTCTATCTTGCTTATAAAACCTGGATGGCACCAGCCAGCCACAGATGGCAGGAACTGATAAGCAAGTAATTGTCTTGTTCAAAATGTCATGTTATAACTATATGTACTTAGTATAGCAGGCTGGAATAAATAGAGTTTAATTTGGGTTGAGAAAGTAATCTGGGGGGGATTCCATACAATAGAGATTTAGGAGGAATATGACATGAAAATATTGATTGATGGAGGATGTGCTCAACAGATGGACATTGGTGGATTTAGTTTGAGTTAGGGACAGGTGGAGTTTTGAATGCTAGAACATGCTGGACTTTAACTGGTTGTCTAAGTTAGAACAGACATTGTACAAAGTTCAAGGTGAGTACAGTGAAGTGATAGAACTGCCCTGTTAAGGACCCACTGAAGAAGGGAAGGAGTTAACAGCACTAAAATGAGACGAGTAGAATTAGCACTTTCTTATTTAAAAAATGATTTATTTGAAATGTTTTATGCTTTTCCTGGATCTTAATTTTTGGTACATTGGTTTTTCTCAAGCCTTCTAAGCTGACTGTTGAGTAGTAAGAATTGTGCAGGAGAGATCTTTGGCAACAATCTTTTATTGAGGCAACCAGTCCTTTGACTGGCCCTCAGCTGAAATCTGTGCAGTATATGATAAAGAAAATAAATAAAAACTACATGGTCAGAAAACTAATGGGTCCCAAAGATACTAGCACTGAACCCCTTTGCTGCAGGTGAAGTGAAAATGACATGACACATTAACACAGGGATCAAAAAAAGGGCAGAGGAATTTATATCCCATATCCCTGAATTTTGGGACAGCTGATCAGCTTGTACGCCCGGCCCCGAGAAGGAGCAGTATCAAGTACACTGGTGGGACTTAGAGAATGTATTTAGAAATCTAAAAATGTCTGTCTATGGTTATTGAAGGTAGTAAAATGTTTCCAACTTAAGTAAGTAATTATACAGGCTTAGTCTGTACTCAGCCCTTTGCTTCTGGTTCTGGGTGGTGTTAAGCTTGACACAGCCCCTCGATCTCAATAAAGTTGGGGAAACATACTAAACATCTTCCAAACTGGCCTAATTTGAACTAACTAGTGTGCTCATTACATGGGGAATACCCTGAGTGAAGTGCTTGAGCATCCAGGATGATTAGCTCCCCTGGTCTACCTATCCATTACTACTCCCTCCAGCCCAGTTAAAGTGGACTTAGAGGTAGTTGTGATCATTCTCAAGTCTGTTTATGCCAGTTGCAGCAACAATTGCAATTAAAGGATTTAATTAAACAATATGTGTATCAATGAACTAATTGTGAAAAGACTCGATATTTCTAGAACAACTAAATTAAATGCTTTGTAAGCATGGATTACTAAAGAAAGCCCTTCAAATTAATGTGGGTGAGAGAACAGCAAAAGATTGGGGGAAACCAGTGATCTAGAAGGATTTCAGTGTTGCTTTATAAAGAAAGATGGTGCTTCAGTCCAATCAGCAGACCCACTTTCACTGTATTTCTACAATTTGGCAAGCGGATGCACATTTACACTTTAATTTAAAATAAAATGAGACATTTTGTCTTTTTCAATTAATGCTGATTGCATCAGGTAAGAGGACTTCAAGTTGTACTTTTAAAATTGATGACATCAAAATTGATGATGAAAGTACCAGAAAGTGTGGAACAGAGAGTAAATGGACAGCAGTTCTTGCAAAGAGAAGAAGAAGGACAAGGAAATCGGGCATATGGAGAAAAATTGCACAGCAAGTAATCACGGACTGAAGATGCAGCTCTAACATTAAAATATCTTTGAAAGTATTTTGCCCTTTTGTGACTGTTTAGGCAAACAAAAATATTTATTTGAAATTCAATTGTTTTCAGTTAAATTTTCCTTAACTGCTTTATTAGGTTTAACATTCTTGGCAAAGCTTCTTAATGGAAACTATTTATTATCTGATTTGGTTCTATTTGTAAGTGAAAGTAGTCAGAAACAATAAAATATGTTTTCTTGAGACTTATTTTGGGTTCGGGAGATAACCAAATGGGTGAAATAGCATAGAAATGACACGAAGATAGAATCAGTGTTTGCTTTCTGTGATCCTGTTTTAAACATTTCCTAAAATAATACAGAAGCTAAAGGTGCACTTTGAATGATTCACCTGGAACCCTGCGTCCAGTAGCTGTGAGGAAGGTCTACCTTAGTGCGGAGCATTTCAGATGGCCGCCGCGGAATCAGCACTGGTCTCTCCTAGATCAGCAACAATGGGTAGAAATTGCGTTCCATGTAAAGTTAGAACTAGAACTCTTAGGAAAACATGAACTCTTCGTTTCTAAATTCAGAGTTCCTCACAAACCAAAGAACACTGAAGTCAGGCAAGCTACCCAGATAAGAGGTATAGAGAGATCCCAGCGCAGCATTATTTTTGAGAGCTGTCTCTTGCCAACTCACTGTACTAAAGGACAGTGAAGGAGCTTTATAAACTGTTTTGGTCCATGTATCATGAAACAGCCTACACGATAACACCAGGGGCCAGGAGTAGACCATGCGGGTAATAGTGTTAGGTATGAATTAGTTGAAGACGTGGTTTGTTGCTCCCAGGGAATGTCATAGAGAGCACGTGTGACACAATGCTGCAGATGTATTGCACAACTCAAAATGAGATGATTCTTGAACTCCCAGACCTCTGTTTTATTGGCAAGTGCATACATGAGGCGAAAAGCAGTGGAGATCCACCTTCGCTTCCGTGACATGCATTGACCTGAACCTCTGCTGGAGGAAACACCTTTAGTGCTCTGCTGGGTGGCTGGGCCGGCTCACTGGAGCTGACGGTGCCCCTCTTCTTCCCTGACCTCACCTTTGTAGCTTGAAACTGGCCCCAGTGGGAGCATTCCAGCACAGAAGTCGGCACGTGCTGCAAGTCAGGTTTCTTCTCCCCCTTCTTCCCCGAAAACCAGTTTTAAACATTAACTAGCACACCACTGCCGCCGGGACAAAAGTTCTTAATCTTTTTTGTGCCATGGATTCTTTAATATTTGCCAAGGTCTCCCTCTGAACAATTTTTTTTAATTCAGTGAAGTCATTAAAATGTACAGGACTAAGTTTATGATACAGTTATGACATGTGCTTCTCTAATGACCCTTGAAGTAACACGATCCAGCAGCCAACCCACCCTGAGTTCTAAGTAGAGATGAGCATAAACTGTATGTTGAGATATCTACAACATGTGATGTGACATGAAAATAGGTGTGATTTCTACTGGAGACGAAGGCCTGCCCCATTCTCCACTTACTGTTCGGTTCCTAATAGGTCATCCGAGCTTCAGCCTTGCCCTTCGATTTAATTCTGTGCCCTGCTCCCAGAATTATTTCACCAAGACACAGATCTGACCATTTCTCGGACACACCGTCTCTACAAAGGCCCTCCGTTTTATATGGATAAACATGGCCTTCAAGTCTTGCCTTGATCTGCAGCCAGTCTACATTTCCATCATTCTTCCCAGAAGAATGTTCCAGCAATGGTAGAAGGCTCACCATTTCCCCGGAGATGCCCTGCACATTCTCAGCACCTTGCCTTTGCAGTACCTCCTCTTACCTAGAATGCCCTCCGTCCTATCTTTGCCTCTTGCAGGCCCATCTAATCCCATGGAGTCCTGTTCAAGTCTTAACACCTCTACAACAAATTCCTAGGGTCCCTAGACCTGAGTAGCCTCTATAACCTCTGTTCTCTCATTGAACTTTGCTTACTACTTTATTGTTGCCCTTAAGACACAATTTCATTTGTATTATTTTCAATATAGAAGGGATGGAAACATATCTATCCTGAAGACTGCCCCACATATAGCATTTAGCACAGGGCCTTGTTCATAGTTCAGTAGCTCTCCAACTTACTTATTTTTCTGTTTAATTATTTTCTGATTATCTTATGAATACATATTTAGTTTCTCCCAATGAGATTGTGAACTGTTGTAGGCAAGGAACCTGCTTTGCATTTGTATTTTCTCATAGTATTGGGCAGTTGTAGATGTTCAATAAATACTTGTTGAAATGAACTGATGATGGCATTTATTGATTTTCCTAAGTATGAATAATTCTTCTGAGGTTTATAATTTACCCAGGGAAACACTCATTAGCATGTGATGCCAAGGACTTCGCTTACTAATTGAACTATTAGGTATGACATGAAAAGCGTAGGTGGAAACCCAGTGCAGGATTCACCTCCCTGCTCTTTAATAAACTGGAAACCAGCCAGTTTCAGACATTAATGATTGCAAATAACATCAGCCTAGAGATTTAAGGCGATTCCTTCTATGGCTGTTATTTCTGAACTCGAAATGAATATTACAGTGTTATGTAGTTAACTGAATTTGTAGCCATGTAATAAATATACTGTAATGTGTATTAAATTTAGTGGGTCGTCTTTTCTTGTAGGGCCTGATGATGCACAGCAAAAAATAGAACCTCATCATACAGCAGTGCTAGGGGAAGGCGACAGTGTCCAGGTGGAAAACAAGGTAAGTAGATAACAGCTTTCATTGTCCTAACTTGTACCATCTGCTGGTTTCCAGGTAAATGCCTATATCTCCTGTGTAGCTGGAAATATTTCTCTATTTCTTGGGCAAAGAAACTGCCACAAGTGTGTTTATCAACCCTTTCATTCAATGACTTGTTATTTCTATTGGTTTATTTTTTATATGTACTGATTCTTCATCTTCAGGAATCATCGAAAGTTCCTGTTGTTTACCCCTTTGAAATACGAATCTGGAGGCAACACACGTCTTCCTTGTCTCTTAATTTTCTTTCTGTATACGATTGATTTATTTTTAGCATAAGTGAAAATGATCAGCCCTCTAGGAGTATCAATATCGATCTCCGCATACACTCACATAGAGCCTTTTGAAAGTAACCCCTTCTCGAACTGAGAGGAGCATATGATGCATTTCATGGTCTTTTCGTGTTGAATCCCTGTTTTTTAAGGAGGGTTTCTGGTGTTTCAGGAGTCTTAGGACCTTTTTTCCCAGGTTGCCAAGTTTCTTTCCTGTGTCGGTTTTATTCACATTGGCTGGTGCACTCACAACCCTGGGAGCCTGTTGTGCCCTTCTGACTGCTTTGTGTTCTCCGAATAAAGAGAATTGAGGAGACAATTATACAAAAGCTCCTGAAAAGATGAATTTTGGAAAGTAGAGATGGAAACTACTTGAGTGTGCAGGAGACTAGTGGAGAGGCGATCTGACTAACGTCTGGCCCTCTGACCTTGGCATTGTAGGATGCAGTGGATTTGAGGAATTACTATATCTTAGCCCACTTTCCTGGCAGCAAACCCATTGCTGCTTTAATTATCTGCAACACTGCCATGAAGTAAATAGAAGAAAAACCTCATGGGCACCAGAGAAAATGCACATCTCAGGGTCTGTATGCTCTATTATTAGGTTGAACTGTATGAAACTGCCACTTCTGACTTACAAAAATGGCCATTTCATCTATTTCAACCCAATGCAAGAAAGAGGCATGGAAGCTCCACATAGACCAGAACCTGCTGATAGCAGATTCATTTGCAATGTTATCTGGTTTAACTTGACAACCCCAGCTCTTCCTGTAATTGAGCAGAGGGCACATTGCAAATGATAAGGGTTTGGAAGCTGAAGTGGAACATCAGAAGGAAGTGATGAGGGGAATCGGAGAGAGAGGAGGCAGCTGGGACAGGAGAGTCAACGGAAACCATCCGTCCGTTGGCAAGCAGTGCTTCTGGCTCCAGGGGTATCATTCTGTTATGCGAACTTCTGTAATTATTGCTGTGTATAAGCATAGCCTGAGCCATCAAGGCATTAGAAAGATTTCTATGAAAAACTTATTTTTAAAAAAATTAGTGTTTAAATGGGCGTATGTCATTGACATCCAGGAAGAGTAGAAAGTGCACCTTAGATACAACAGAAAAGAGACTGTGAATTGTGGATTTTGGCTTTGCCAGTTGTTGCTGTGTGACTTTGGGCATGTTTTTCAACCTCTCTGAGCTTCATTTTCTTTGCAAAATTGAAATAATAACACCAACTGCACAGGGTTGTTAGAATACATGAGATTATGTATGTCAAGAGTCTACGGCAGATCTAGCACAGGGGTTGGTAAATTATGTCCAACAGGCCAAATTCAAACCTGTTTTGGTAAATAAAGTTTTATGGGCCCACAGCCACACCAATTCATTTCTCTTTGTCTATGGCTCTTTCACAGCACAATGGCAGGATTCAGTGCAACAGAGACTGGATGGCCCACAAAGATGAAAATATTAACTCTGGCCTTTATAAGGCAGAGTTTGCTAATCCCTGGTTTAGTACATAGTGGGTACCCAGTAATGATAGTGGAAGTTCACTGATCTACATACCAAATTTAACACATAGTCATGCCAGGTACCAGTTACCTAATGAAGATTCATAGCTTAGGCCCTAAGGTTTAGGGCACATAAGAGATACTGCAGCTGAACAAAGGCCCTGATGGACCCTGATTCACTGGGGCTTTAGGCCGGGGTTATCTTCACTTGGAACTAGACTTAGCCTGAGGACTAGATAGAGATGGAAGGTAAGACTTCCTGATGCTCCCTTTAGTCCCATTTGCACTGAGTTGTGGTCAAGAATAAGGAGCTGATAATGCTCCCTGGCTTCCTTCTAGCACCTTTCTTCCTGCCCTCTCACTACCAGTTTCTGTGTCTTGCACCATCACTGTCTTCCTAGTTGACCAGTAGTATGGGCGGTTCCCTCTGGAGTGGCCAGTCCTTCAGGGCAGGACAGGAGGGCAAGGAAGGGGTGATATAGAGCATATCTTTTTCTCTCCCCAGGTTTCTCTGCTTCATCTTAGCATTCGGCTCATCCTAGGCCAACACATTTTAGGCTGCAGAGTCCTTGTCCGCTTCACTCAGAGAGTAGATTATTTCTTGTGACCATTACTCTGAAGTCTTCATGGTAGGTAGCAACTGCAGGGGGCTTAGTTTGTGCTGGATTTGAGTCTTTAAGCCACACCCTGTGTCTTCTTGGAGGAAGCCCAAACCCCAAAAATGTCTTCTTAAAGAGGGTCTTAACTTCTCTATAGCATCTTACTATGCTGATAGCAACTGCAATAGAGGGGATGAGGACTTGATAATATGAGTGAATGTTGAAACCACAGTGTTGTTTATGTGAAACCACCATAAGATTGTATATCAATGATAGTTTAATTTAAAAAAGGCAGGGGGATCTTAACTTTCAGAAAGAATTCTTAGAGATTAGGACCAACCCCAGGCTATTCTGGATATTTAATCCTGGGCTGTACTGGCCACCCTGGAACAGCCTCTGTTTCAAGGACTAAGGTTCCCTGTGCTGCGTTGGCCCACTGTTGGTGCTCAGGTTGCCAGGATGGCTCGATGATCAGGAGCACGTGAGGTTGATAGGAAAGGCTTGCTCTCACCTTTGACCCCTGTTTATACTAGCATCTTGTTGAGGTCTTAAGCCTCAAGGATTAGCAAACTCACTTGTAGTTTGTCCATGCAGACAGTCATTTCTCACTGGCTGCCATCAAAGTCACACTTGACTGCTGATACTCTTTAGCTGGCACCATTCATGGGGGGCTCTTTAAACTAACACAGATTAACATTTAATTACATTGAAAGAAATAAAACACCCGATTAAAGTTAGAGGCCACTTTTTTGCTTACGTATGTGTAAAATTTATAACAAAATAAACAATAGTTTTAAATTGATAATGGTTGATTGTTTTATCTTTATTTATTTTTTAAAATTTTTTATAAAGGTATGATTGATATAGACTCTTATGAAGGTTTCACATGAAAAAATGTGGTTACTACATTTACCCATATTATCCAGTCCCCACCCACACCCCAATGCAGTCACTGTCCATCAGTGCAGCAAAATGCCACAGATTCACTATTTGCCTTCTCTGGGCTACACTGTTTTCCCCGTGAACCCCCCACACCATGTGTACTAAACATAATACCCCTCAATCCCCTTCTCCCTCCCTCTTTGGTAACCACTAGTCCCTTCTTGGAGTCTGTGAGTCTGCTGCTGTTTTGTTCCTTCAGTTTTGCTTTGTTCTTATACTGTTTTATCTTTAAATAGGCTGGAGAAGTATAAACATTGAAATCTAATAGGAACAGTTGCATACAGTTAAAGTCATGCTAAAGTTCAGTTTCTTTCTGGTAATTTTTTCATTATAATAAATGTTCTTGAGGGAAAGTGTGCCCTTAATTCATTCTCAGAGTCCTACTGCCATCTTAAGCTTTATATTCATAATCAATCAAGCAAGCTTTGAGCACATACTTATTGTATAGAAAGTTATCAATACCTTAAATGAATCATAGGCTCTTCATCTGGGCTTTGATCATTTACTGATACCAGTGGAACTCAAGACATGTCTTGGTGATAATATGTATGGAATAACAAGGACAATTTGTGAAAGTAAATTATTAACTAAACCCAGAAGGGCCTAACTCTCAACTAGGGACTTGGAGAAGGTGCACCAAAGTAAAAGCCGTGGTCTGGGTCCAAGAAGATCATGAACTCTAGTTGGGGTAATTATATGTTAAGCAGCAAGTGGGCCTGTGTTACCTTTGCGTGGGGCCTTTTCATCCAACTTCAGAATGGCATCAACTTAGACCCACATAGGGACTCGTGTCTTAAACCCATCTTGCGTTCTCTTTGCTTTTGCATGATTTTCATCATTTGACACAGTACATAAGGTCGCTGTAGACAAGGACTTTTCAAGATAACAGCAATTGGGATTTTCAGCCACATCAGCACTCTACTGAATATCCAGCAAAATTATCAGCTTTCACTGAAGAAGGCTAGTTAAGGAAAGAAAGAAACACAAAAACCTAAGACAGCTGGTTTAGGTTAGAGGAGAAGGGGCCAGTCAGAGGTTAATTTTCTAGGAAAGTCATTAAAAGAGGCTTGGACCATCTTTCCAATTTCTGCAGTAGAAAACCAAGTTCCCGAACTCCCCAGTACCCAGCAGTTGAACCATTTTTCATTCCAGACCAAATGCAAGTGTCCTTTTATCCTACTGTCCCAAATATCAATGAAAAGTCATTTCATTTGAGTAATATCAAAAGGAGCAGAACTTAACATTTATTATCCCTGTAAAATGGGTAAAGTGTAGGACAGGTTGGCCATTCACAAAAGGGGCACCTTCTGAATTAAGAAACTAGGGTTCTGAGGAGGCAGTGCATCTGTGGCACAGGAGACAGGCCCCCCCCCCCTTCCCTCGTAAGCCCGGATCCTTCCTCCTCTGCCCCCTGACCCTAAAACTCAAGCGTGTCTCCCTGCCAACAAACGCCTCCAAGCACTATTTAGTGAAAGCTTATTTCAGATTAAATCATAAATAATGAGGTGCTAATGACCAGAACTATTTTTCCTAAGATACTTTTCTTTCATATGTCTATTGATACTCTACTAAAATTTCGCCTCTCCAAAACCTGTAGAGAGAACATCATTTTTGATAACTGTGTGCCTTTCTTTTCAAGTTGAATTCTTAGTCATTTAAGCATAACATTAAAACAAATACCATTTCAGACAGAGACCTTCCCCTTTCCTGGGGCTTAGGTCATATTATGCACAGTTTAACTTATTCATAACTTTGAGTGATCAGCATGTTTATTAATTATTAATTAATAAGATGTTATAGAGTCATTACTTGTCTTCTCTGTGCTATACTGCCTTCCTCGTGACCTACCTATATTGTGATTGTGAATTATAGTGCCCCTTAATCCCTTCCTCCCTACCCATGCTCCTCCACCCCTCCCCTGTGGTAGCCACTAGACCCTTCTCAGTGTCTGTGAGTCTCTTGCTATTTTGTTCCTTCAGTTTTGCTTTAAACACAGATATTTTTTTTTTCTCAGTCATCTTTATTGTCAGAGAGGATAAAACAAAACACTCAACCCACTTTCCACTGATCCAGGTGCCAGGGTCACAAAACCAGGCGCCCCTGAACAAAGACAAAGGGCAAACATTTTCCTGCTTTATGCAAACATACTTGTGCATAGCACTAAATGTGGACAGCACAAACTGATGGGAAGAAATTGAAACCACAGAATCCCAGAAATACCCAGAAACCAGCACCATTAAGATTTAAATGCATTTCCCTCCAGCTTTTTTCTAATCTCATTGTCTATGTAGACTTTAAGCATATATATACATATATTTTTTTTTGAGAGGGCATCTCTCATATTTATTGATCAAATGGTTGTTAACAACAATAAAATTCAGTATAGGGGGGTCAATGCTCAATGTACAATCATTAATCCATTTCAAGCCTAATTCTCGTCAGTCTCCAATCTTCTGAAGCATAACGAACAAGTTCTTACATGGTGAACGAATTCTTACATAGTGAATAAATTCTTACATGGTGAACAGTGCAAGGGCATTCATCACAGAAACTTTCGGTTTTGATCACGCATTATGACCTATAAACAATCAGGTCAAATATGAATATTAGTTTGATTTTTGTACTTGATTTATATGTTGATCCCACATTTCTCCCTCTATTATTATTATTATTTTTATTTTTAATAAAATGCTGAAGTGGTAGGTAGATGCAAGATAAAGGTAGAAAACATAGTTTAGTGCTGTAAGAGGGCAAATGTAGATGATCAGATGATCAGGTGTGTGCCTATGGACTAAGTATTAATCCAGGCTAGACAAGGGCAGCAAGACATCCATGGATGCAGAAGATTTCTCTCAAAGCAGGGGGGATGAGGTTCTAAGCCTCACCTCTGTTGATCCCCAAATTCTCACCTGATGGCCCCCCTGCGACTGTGCCTGTCTTAGGTTGTTCCTCCCTTGAGGAATCTTACCCGTCTCTGGCTAACCATAAACACAGATATTTTTAACCATGAAAAAGTAATTACGGTATCCACCGGGTGGATGTACTAACTGAAAGCCCTGGTACTGCAGGGAGTAAATGAAGACCTTGGCAGGAATCATTCAGTCCTGAATAACCTTTTAATTTTTTAAAGTTGGAGTTGTAAGGAGAAGTCAGTTTCAGTCCTGTAAAATATGAGAGTTTTTTTAACTACATGGAAGATTAAATAATTAATTTTATCATCATCATTATTCATTATATCGTGGTGATCAATTGTAATGTATATAAATATTGAATCACTGTTGTATACCTGAAACTAATGTCTATTATGCTTCAATAAAAAAAAGTAAAAGCAGAACTCATAAGAAAAAAGAATCATTATTCATTTTTATTGAGTCCAATGATGTCGTCAATGCTAGTAACACTAGAATGGTTTCTAATTAGAGCTTTGTATTAGTAGAAGCATGTAAGTATGATACAGTATGCTATAAAATCAGATACTTAGAACTAAACTGTCTATACTTCGAAGGCTTTGTTTTAAAGTGCCTAATCAGTATGGCGTTACTTACTCTAAAGATAAACCTAAGAGACACCTCAAAAGAAATACATAATGTTCAGTTATTCTTAGTAACAAACCTCCCTAAAAGCTAGTGACTTAAAACAGTTGTCTGCTATTTCTCACAAGTGTGGTGGGGGTTCTTCTGGTGGTTTCTCTGCCATTACTGGGTCAGAGGACATCAGAGCGCTCCTTACAGAAGGGTTACGGTACCAGTATAAAATCTCCCGAATGATACCTAAAAGCATGTTTCTCCGTGCAGCTCCATTAGCTCTGTATATTACAATTAATTCTTTTTTCAGTTTCAGAGAAAAAAATCGAATCGTAATTCTAAACAAAAACTTCTAGAGACTATAATACAGTAGGACCCTTTTGGAGAGAAATTGGCCTGAGCAGATATCCCTTGGATGTTTTTATAAGGTTCCATTTAGTACAACCTTTCTGGAGCATATTTTACATTAATAGCAATAAATGTCAAAAGTAATACAATCTTCCTTTTGGGTTTGTATAAGGAATCTCTTTTAAAAATTGTGGGAGATTATAAACCCCATAATAAGCCAAGTAAATGACATAGTTTATCTTAAAGATGTTTCTAGTTAAAGAAGATCTTAATTTAAATTCTCCTTTATTTGAGAAGGTTCATATTCTGGTGGTCTGGACTTAATTTTTGAGTTCTGCCATGAATGCTACCAAACATCTTAAGGAATAAGCATTTCCATATTGAGTGTCACACAGGAAATAACTCCTGAAATTTATTTTTAGAATTAGAAACATCCTCCATTTAACCAGCATGTCAACTTGAGATTGTTTCTAATTTGACATTCAAAAATAAATACGTTTATTGTTTGATGCTTTCTTTCTTGACTTTAGGATCCTGAGAGAAGCCACTTTGTCCTAATTGCTGGGGAGCCATTAAAAGAACCAGCTGTCCAACATGGTAAGCCCAAAATGAGGATAATTTTCTTTTTCTTTGAAAGTAGTGTACATGTATAGTATTATTGGGTAGAACTGGATTTTTGTCCTGTCTCTCCAGGTACAAATTTGAGGATTTTGCTTCATTTCTCCACTGTCAGAAGAAAATACATACATGGCATTTATTTCTGTATTAATTCTTTCTTTTAAAGAAATATTTCTTGAGTGTCTATCAAGTGTAGGACAGTGAGCTTGGAACTGTGGGGAAAACAAGTTGTGTTCTTGCATTGTGTCACAGGGGATTTCAACTTAAAGATTGTGTGATCTACTGGGGACTTGAATATCATTTTTATCTTTACCAAAAATAGAAGTAATTTTAATACCGGCCTTGTAGTCTGTTGTATTCTTAGTGAAAAATAGGAGCTTCTTAAGAATATTTCCTTGGGAGTTTCTAAAGTATTTGAGTCACACTTTGTTTACTTAGAAAAAAAAACAATAGAGTAAACTGTGGCATAATGGAAACAGAACTATACTTGGAGGCAAAAATTTCTGGAATGAGTACCCCTAACAGTCACTGCAATTGTTTGTTTTATTCATAATGTTGTTGTTTGGTTACATGAGGAACATCTAAAACTACCTAGAACCCAGCTTATTATTAAGGCAAGTGCCAACAAAATATGTATGTCCACTTACCTAATTATTAAATTTAACATGCATTAAAATCCCATTACATTGCCTTGCCTTACATGAATTTCCAGATAGACACAATGATTTCAGAAAAATCCCCCAGCCAACTATAAATTTAAAGAACACTGCCTATTTTAAAAATCTCCTTTTTTGCTCTATTAGTAACTTAAAGGGGAAGTACTAAATTATAACCTGCCAGCCTACAGCATTTGACCTCCGTTTTGTATACTTCAATCTCCACTCCAAAGGCTCATGGTTCCTGTTCCCTTTCATCTTGATCAAACAGCACTGAAATGGTTTGTTCTTCTAGAAGAAGCCTGCAAACTGAGTAGCATCATAATCTTTATTAACAGTGACTAGAATTTAGATGGGGAAAGGGTGTGTGGGATCTGACTCTTAAGTTAAAACAGTCTCCTGTGCACCAATAATGAAAAGCAAAAGTCCACCTGAATGAGGTGACAGACCACAGGGGCGGGACTGCTGGAAGTCAGTCTCCATGCGTGTTATGTGAATCCTCTCTCAGAGGCTTGCGTCTCAGCAGCACTGCCTATGCCCGCACCGACAAGCTTAGATTAACCAGACAAAAAAAGACAGGTATGTCCCTTGAAATCTCAGTTAATGAGAAGCAAAGCAATTTCGTTTATTGGTTTTTTTTTTAACTTTTTAAAACTCAGACATTTAAGTTCTCTTTTTACCTGTACATGTTTAAAGACAGCCACAGCCATTTCTTGACTATTTGGAAATGGGTACCAGTTTAATGAGTTAGCCAAGGACTTGTTTCTCTTATTAGGGAGTATGCTTAATTATGTGTCTGCAAATTAAGTGCGGATGTCATAGAATGTTGATTCTAACTAACATATTCAGGAGTGGGGTCTGCAATTCTGCATTTCTATCTCTCCAGACCACCTAAATCAGAATATGCATGTTAATAAAATTCCCAGGTGATTCATGTGCATGTTGTAAGTTGAGAAGCACAACAGAATAACCCAGAAAAATGTCAAAATACAAGCCCAGAAGTGTACCATTTTTACAGAAAAATAATTGGGGGATGAGAGAGGTACTCCATAGTAAGTCCAAACTGTAGCAAAATTATGATGTGCAAGAAATTGGCCACTGGCCCAGTACCTGTTCTCATTTTCCAAGTTCCCTTTCCCTTTCCTTTATCTGTCCTTTAAAAAGTTGGTTTCTCCAGGGAGCCCTCTTGGATTTACTGTTTATATTGCTAATGAGCACTGTCTCATTGCTTGTTACCTGATACAGATCAAGTCTATCCCCACATAAAATTGCTCTCTGGAGCCCCTGAGCCCAATTTGCAACAGTGTAGCAGGCCCCTCTGCCAGGAAGCCATTTTATTGTCAACACCACCTTCCTGTCACAATATCCCAAACTGAACTCCTTGCGCTACCCTCAGCCTCCTATGCCCTGTATCTCAATTACCTTTTGCAGTTCCGCCATCCACTCAGCCTCCCAGGTCAGGCCCCCTCTCCACCCTGATGCCGAAGTCGTCTTCAAAAGCTGTGCATCAGATCCTGTTACTCTGTGCCTAACCCTTCAATGATTCCTGATCGCCCGCAGAATTATGTCTCACCTTCTTCCCATGGATGGCATCCAAAGCCCAGAGGGATCCGGCCTCTTCCTGCATATCAGACCCCCCCATTCTTCTCCGGCTTCCAGCTCTCTGCCGCCATCCGCAATTCCCCCAGCATGCTAATCTGAAAAGGCCTTTCCTCCGTGTCAGCTCCTTGGACATCACACCCTTTGTGAGTCCTTTCCTGGATGTCACCTGCTGTTACCACCCCATGTATTACACGGTTTTGTAATCATTTATTTCCGTGTGTGTTTGTGTGATAGGTTTGAGATCCCTGAGGGGAGATGGTCTTGTTGCCTTGCCTTGCCTCATCGTGTCTCTAGCTCCTAGTGCAAGTTTGTCATGTAATAAGCACTCAGTAAATCCTCACTAGAGAGGTAATTGAATGAATGAGTGAATTTAGCTGCCTTCCACCTGCTTTCCCTTCCTACTGCCGTGGCATGCCCCGCAACCCCCCAAAAGGCCTCAGTGTCATCAGTGCATATTTTCCTGCATCTTCTTTCTCAAGTGTTGAACTAAAGTGAGCATCAAATCCATGCTGATAATGCTAACAAGGGTGAAGGAGTTTGAATGTGTTATTCCCTCCAAGTAATACAGTGATGATTCAATCCGGGTCTCTCAGAGAAAGCCCCTTAGAGGAACTTCCATAAAATGACTGTCAGGAACCTCCGAAGACTGGTAGAAAATAATATACTGAATGGACACATCTGTCAACTGCTTTCAAGACACTGCCAATGCCATATACAAGCTAGCCTTGTTTATCCGAAAGATGGTGGGAGTGATACAATCCAGGCCAGCCCCCCTCTGCCCCTGCAATATGTGAAGAAAAGGGGAGAGACTTTGCCTCCTGGTAGGTTAGGGGAGGACTCCTACGTTTGTAGCAAAACCAGAATTCAAACCTGGGAATTAGACAAAGGGGCCGGCAAGCTCTGATCTGTGGGGCCAGGTCTGCCCACTGCATGTTTTTGTGAATGAAGTTTTACTGGAACACAGCCTACCTGCCATCTTTCATGTTGTCCGTGCCTGCTTTCAGGCTTCATCGGAGGAGTTGAGTCATTGAGACATGCTGTTTGACCCACAAAATATAAAATAATATACTATCTGGCCCTTTGCAGGAAAAGTTTGCCAACCCCTAGAGAATCCAACATTTGTTGCTTTCTCAACTCAAGATTTTTGTGATCTCCTACTTATTGTCAATACGGTGCTACTAATTTTCAGAAATGACTTAAACCCCTCATGTAAGTACACAGCCTCACATACTGCGTGGACGGCAAGGCAATGAGGAATTTGCCAATTCTTTGTGTCACAATCAGTGCAACTCTTGACATCAGCTAATCTTTTAAAACTGACAGCTACAGTAAATCTTAAAAGTTCTCACCATAAGGAAAAAAAGTTCTGTAACTATGTATAGTGGCAGATGTTAACTAGACTGAGTGTGGCAATCATTTTGCATTATATGCAAATACTGAATCATTATATATTGTACACTTAAAACTAATAAAATGTATGTCAGCTATACCTCAGTAAAAAATAATAAGGAAGAAAAAACCCTCACAACTACAAAAACGGTTGTAATAGAACCAAACCTAAGAGTGTTTTGAATAAAGAGATTGCCTTTGCTGATGACAGCCTGCAGTGGCTGGGCAAGCTGTGATTGCAGGGGTTTATCTGAAGTCTCGTCTTTATATGCACACACAATCCTAGTCAAGAAACGTGTATTACAGTCCTCGGGGATTGGACGCTGCAAAAATAATCTTTTACTGTTCAGATATGCCTGGATTTGTTTCAAATTAAGAACTACAGAAATACATACCATTTCTAGTGGTAGAAGAAAATATTGTCATCACCCAGAACTGTCTGACTGTCTCTTTCTGCCCTAGGTCCCTTTGTGATGAACACCAATGAAGAGATTTCTCAGGCCATTCTTGATTTCAGAAATGCAAAAAATGGGTTTGAAAGAGCCAAAACCTGGAAATCAAAGATTGGAAACTAGTGAAGAGCACAGGAGCAATTCTCAGTACTTTCTAGAAGTTTGCCATTCGTGACATCCATTTATTCACTGCATCCAGTTTCCAAAGCTGACCTAGCCAGTACTCCTAAAGAATTCCACACTGAAGTGATAACATGGTTTTTATAGCACTGCATAAGAGGTATTTCCTGGCACATGCAAATAAACCTAATTGTTACTTCTTTTCAAATCAGTGTTCTTTGTTTTGACCTATGTTACTAAGCTTCTGTTAAAAAAGTCACTTTGCATAGGTTTGCCTTTGTGTGTGTGTGTGTGTGTGTGTGTGTGTGTGTGTGTGTGTGTGTGTATGAATATTTTGTTATTTTTGTGCATGTTGTGAGTTTTTTAAAGCATTTCTGTGTGTCACGGGCAGTAGATGCCTGAGCATCTGCGGGCCCCTCCTGAGCCATGCAATTTTGATACCATAGTCCTGCACGTGTGCTGGGGTTTCACGTTACAGGTTATCTGCATTAAAATAACAGCAGTCCTGAGCGTTTAAGTCAGTTTTTTGAACCGCCCTGCTATTGGTAGGGACACGACAGGATTACAGCCAAGACTTCCCTGCATTTTCTGCCAAAATCTGTGTCAGATTTAAGACACATACTTCAGCAAGCTTCCATGGGGGTTGTGAAAAAAGTTTGATCCAGAATTGGGTTCCAGCCTCCTGTAGCTGCAAACCTTGGTGGCCACACCACCTCCTTACAAAGCAGCCAGAACCTGGGGCAGAGGGTGGAGAGATTTTTAAAAATTTGCTGGACATGAAATGGATTTAGAGCTCTTTCTTATTTCTAGTGGAAGACATGTCCACCTCCTGATTATTTTTGGAGCATGAGAGCATCTAAAAGGTTTTTCATCTCTCTCTTCCCCCAAAAGATCGTGCAAAAACGTACCTTGACTAATTGAACTCATTTCATTGGATTTTGATCACAACCCAATACTTGTTTTTCCATGTGAAGTCTTGGGGTTTCAAGCGTTCCTTCTGGAGAATGCCTTTTGAAACAGTTTCCTCTAGCTGCCTGATGTCAACTGTTTGGTAATCAGTGGATATTAAAATACTCAAAATGTACAGACAGTGGGCAGTGGTGAATATTTTCACAGTGTCTTATCTGCAGTTGGTGCAGGGCTCCAGTTATGAACATGGACCAGTGAAGGTACGTGAGCTTAATTTTTAATGTGATGCAGGCTTTTTATTGCTTTCTATAGAGAGAGGATTTCCTTTGCCCCCGCTATTTTGGAGAACACTCCTGGGAGTGGACAGGTTATATCTTGTATTTGTTAATAAGTGTTCTATTTCTTAGGCTTGCTAAGACTCTTGCCGTGAGTGTTTGAAAATGCTGGAGGGGTTGGGGGGGGGCTTGGGGAGGAGTAACAGAACATGAATGAGCATTCCAAAATCTTTGCAGATGGGGACATTGCCCCTCAATTGTATATGCACAGTGATTTTCTAATGAAGCGCCAATTTGTTTTTCTGACATAGATAACTTTGTGGGCCATTTATTTTCAGGTCGTTTGTTGTTATAAATGTTAGTTTAGTTAATTAGCTTAGTTAATTTCCTCTGCCAATCAAAAACAGCGGTGCTTTCTACAGATGTTTTCTATCCGGTTTTCCCAGTTGCCCATTGCCACCATCTAAAAAATGCTAAAAAATGTTTTATTAGAAGTCAGTTTATATTTTTGCTTTTTGAAACATACAAAATTCAGCAGCAATCAAATGTTTGGTTCTGTGAGCAAGCATCAGTTAGAGCCCAGTGCATTGAGAGGCAAGCAAAAAAATTACCTGCGATGTTACTGACTGAGCAGTATTTCCCCCCATTTTATGTATTTTGTAGGTGATGTTCTTTTCAGCTTTTTATTTTGGAAATGATTCAGATGTAATTGTTTTGCTTGATGTGGTGCTAAATGATTATTGGTTTAGGAACTTCTAGCTGTGAACAGACAGTCCGACGTGGACTCAAGGTTTTAGCTGTTGTTAAGATACGCATTTTCAACAGGAGTGATACCGCCCCCATCAGGGGGAAATTGTTCCTTGGGAGCGACAAAGTCTCGGTAAATAGAAAGCACAGAGAGATATACATGCGGTACTCAACAGATGGGCAGAGTCTCTGTGAAGCTGGAACACTGCGCTGGGGTCGAGGGTCACCTTGTCCAGCATCTGTGCCCTCCTCACTTTCCATAGTCCAAACACACAGGGGAGAAATCCCAGGCATTCAGCCCCGCTTCATTGCCACCCACCTGGATGTTGGGTCTCAGTGCCAGATTGCAGGTAAAAGGGAATCCAATCTTGAGCCTAGGCGACAGGACAAGAAATTGTACTTGTTGGAAGCAAATCAGGCTCTTCTGGCTATTCAGCTTTTTTTAAAGTCCACAGAACTCAGGAATCCTTTAGATGTGTTGGGTTCATGAAATTTCCATCCCCCCGCCCCCTACTTTTTTGTATGGTGTTTTAAAATATCTCCATTTTACTTTGAAACATCGATTTGATGGTACAAGAGGACTCATAGAATTCCTGGAAATAAGTAATATTCTTTAGGTGGTTCAACTCTTTTAAAGAGCACAGACACAAAGAATTCTTTAGGGATCCTGGGCACCATGAGGTTTTAAATGTTTCATATTTACTACTAACATATAAACTCACTGAATAGGGCAAAAAAGCAGCTGAATTTGCATGTGATGGAACATGTGTCCTTACACATGGAAGATGCAGCATTATATGCTTAGTAATACGAGCAGCAGTTTTTTTCACATGTATCTGAATTTCCTCTAAAAAGTGAAGCTGCGTATACTGAGCTTATATCTACCTAACCCTAGCTCAGTGAAATACTTCTTCTGTGAAGGAAAGGGTAGCTGTAGTGCCTAAGTTCTGGCGTGGATCGCGGGGCGGGGGGGTGAGGGTCATCCTGGAGGTGTCATTGGTTAGTGTATTTCTCCTTTCCTCCTAACTTTTTCTTGTAGGAACATCTAAGAAGAAACATGTTTCTTAATGTGAATGTTCTTGTTTAAATGTAAATTCAGTATGAAAGCATCTTCAAGGTGGTGATAGTCTGGACACTGGGCCATGAATCAATTTTTTTGCTTTTTCAGATAGATATGTTTCACTTATCATAAGACGTTTTCAGGGGCCTCCTCAGCAGCAGGTCCATGAGCACGTTCTTCTCTCTACCCTCCCCTTTTCCAACCAGCTCTTTTCCAGGATGGACAGTGGTGCCTCTTCTACCCCTAGGTTGCCCTTCCCCACAGTCCTCACTCTGTAGCCTTCCCCATTCTCCTCTCTCTTCAGCTTACACTAGCACTGCCTTTATTACAGTTATACACATCTGGACGTTTTTTTTTTCTGCAGCAATGGACAAACAGCTGCTAATACTCTAGACAATTGCACTCAATGCCATTTGAGTCTAAGTTAAGCATCCTGATGTCGTTAGTCTTGCACTTGTACTTAGGAGAGCTCTGGGTCAGCGGTACATGGGATTTGTGATCTGAGATAAATCTGTTTGAAAATATCAACTCAAATGTACTGTATATACTGTTGAGCTGCTAAGTTTTTCAAACTAAGCAGAACACATTTTCTTCTAGAAATAAGGTTAACCTAATACCTATTCTTGACTTACTAATGTAATTAGATTAACCATCTAGATGTGGGATTTTTTGTGTCTCTTTCCCCAGCCTTTTTGTGCATCTGGGTTAGTCATACAATTGCACAGGGTGTGCACTGCACAACCCTCCAATGCTCCATCCACATGGGCTCACGTCTGCATGTGACAGCCCTGAGTACAACAGTGTAAACACTCAGGGCATTTAGTAAATAAATACCTGCAACCTCACTGTCCTGTTGTTCACATTGACCTTCTGGACAGCACTATTTCTGGTTTATTTCCTAAGCAATTCTTGTCACCAGGAATTTTGGTGCCTCCATAAGGCACTGGGGGGAGAAGCCATCATACAAAAATCTTTTCAGTCACTGATGCAGACATAGTGGTAGAGCAATAAAGGAATAATTCTGGGTCATAGTAGGCTTTCCCAGCGCTTCTCTCACAAAATTTGTTTCCTTCTCCCCCAAACCACCTTTCAGCCCCCTCTTTCTTAACTTCACTGGTGGAAGAATATTGCTGGGTGTTGGAGTCATTCAAACTCTCTGTACGACCAAGATTCACAGGAATGTGGGATGCCTCTAACTTTCATGTGAAGCCATGTGATTGAAAAGACTTCATAACCTTTGTGTCACTTGCTGGCTCCTGAAGTTGTGAGGGTGAATTGAATGACAAGGACTGAAGTGCACCTTCCGTATTGCACCTTCCATCCCGGAAGCACACCCTCCCCCAATTCCCTCTCTATTCCCATGTCCAGAGCCATGCACAGGAAGCCCATTGACTTTGTTGCTAGTCAAATGGCCCAATGAGCCCCCATCCACTTTTCTCTTAGGCACAGCCCTTTACACAAAAGATATCTGAAATGTTGCCATTAATTTCTTCTTTCATGACCTTGTTTTTAAATGTGTTGAATTATATGCCTCCAAACACAGATCTATTCTGTCCTGGTTAGTCACTTTTAACTGGTGGTCAAAACTTTTTAAATGGTATTCAGGATAAAATAGAACCCCACCCCCCAATATCTTATATCTTGACCATAATACTTCCTTATATAAAACATGACTTATTTTTTAACTTAAAAGTCCTGACTTGGACTTGTGGATAAAACCTTTACTGTAGATCCCTAAGAGCTCTAGAAAAGAAAACATTAAAGCTGCTTGTTGAATGCGCTCCATTATGGAACCCCTCTTGGGACAGGCTTATAAAGACAATTTATGGAATAAAGTGTTTGGACATGTGGCTGCTTCCATGTGGAGCTTCATGTTGATGTGGTAAGATCTGGAACTCCCAGGCACATTTATCACTACCATAGGTGGTTAGAGGTACTAGAGAAATAAGGACACAAATGGTAGTAAAATTGTTTCTGAGCACCTTTCTAAGCTCAACTCTCCTGCCAGATGAGATGAGCATACAGTGTGGGGAAGTGTGTATAATTGGGAATGTGACTGAGATGACAGGAGATGGGACACTTCTTCGGGTGCTTCCGTGGTGGCAAGGCCACTTTTCTCTCTCCCATCACTAGTTCTGGTAGTCTCTACCAAGGCCCAAGGATATTATACTCTGAGGCCCCCCTGCATCTTGGAAGCCTTGACTGGCTGTAATGTCCTAGTTCATAAAGGGAGGCAAGGGAGGGGAAGCAGGCCCTCTGCAGGTCTGTAACCGTCAGGGGGTTGAGTGCCATGGAGAAGAGCCAGCAGGGGGAGGAGCCACAGAGGGCGGGGTGGGGGAGACTTCTCTGACTTGGTTCCGATTGTGCAAACCCCCGAAGGAAAGGGGGAGGCAGAAGCACCCATTGTGCAGTGGCTGTGCTGAGCACAGGGAGGTGGCTTGGGTGTCGGGGACGAGCCAAGGAGCCATGTGGCCAGACAAAGGAGCATGGAGGGCACAGCTGCCGTTGTTGAGGTTAGGGAAGTAGCCAGGGCAGGTCATGTAGGATGTGTCTGTGTTACAATAAAACTATGGGCCCTGAAATTTGAATTGTATGTCATTTTCATACATCATGAGATATTCTTTTCATTGATTTCAAGCATTTAAAAATGTAAAAAGTAATTCTTACCTCATGGGCCACACAAACATAGTCTACAGACTGGATTAGGCCTGCACATCATAGTTTGCCAGCCCTGATCTATATCATCACACCATTTCATCCTCTTCGTAGTCTGTATCGGTACCTGACGGTTTTTATTTGCTTGCGTATAAGTTCGTTTCTTTGTCACCCTCCACTACAGTGAAAGCTTTTTGAGAACAGGAACTTTCCATTGTCTTGTTTGCTTTTTGTCCCAATCACTTAGGACAGAGCCCATAATAGGGTAGATATTTAAACAGTAGTTGCTGACTGATTGATGGCCCAGGCTTCTAGGATTTTGATATAAACAGGTTATGAGCTACTGCATTAAATAGTCTCCAACATCTACTCTTATCATGGCTTGCCTGATTTTATTTGTTTTCATTCTAAAGCATTTTTTTATAAAGCAGTATATTCACCCTATGCTATTTTCTTGCGGAGATTAGAGAGGATTTGGATGGTGGTACCAAAGGATGCTCCAGTGTCCTTCCAGCCACAAGCT